TTTTTACCAATTTAGAAAGCTTGTCCCCTGAAACAGTCAAGAGCCCCATGTGTTTCAGCTCCAATGAAAAATATGACATTGGGATTACAAAACATAGCACTGTCCCCTTGACCTCCCCCAAAATTACAGAGAATTGTCACTGGGAACTCAAACGCTCTGAACTTCAATCCACACATACCTTTTTGTAATTATATAAGTAAAATCCACTCGCTATAAAAGACACAACTCAGGGACTGGTAGTTTCCACCAACATTTACTTATTTCCCTCTCTCCCTTTCTACCTCCTTCACTTTTTTATTTGATAGAGGGCATGCACCTTTATCAGAGAGAGACAGAGAGAGAAGGAAGGTGAGAAAGCATCCCCACGTCGGGGAAGGCCATGCCACAATCCCTTCTCCTACATTGCTCCTTTTCAGGACTTTGGGCGTGCATGTGCCCATGTGCCCGACGTGCTTGTTGGACCACTGGATCTGGGGCTTGAATGCATAGTCGGCCAACTGGGATCTAGCTGCCTTAGCCACCATGCCACTGGTGGTTCTCAACCAACATTTTCTAGCTCCTTTCTTGAGAGCTCTTCTTGATGCTCCACGGATCCTAAGAAATGCAGTATAAACCTGCTACTGCAGAAGGGAATAATTGTCATCACTTTGTTTTTGGGGCAGAAAGTGGCAATGTCATCTCAGAAGACCACGAGTAACTAAACATACCAACCTCCCCTGTTATGTCTCATTAAGAAAGAAGATGACTGGAAACTTCTATTGGATTCTTAACAAGCACCTGCCCAGGGCTTTTCCCCAAGGGACAGGGAGCTCTGAGCTCTAAGTGGACGTGGCCAACCGCCTCATTGCACAGTGCTGCCAAGGCAAAGCCTTGTTTATAACCCTTCTCCAGTCCTAAATTCTGGACGTACTCAACCATGCACGTCAGATGAGCTGCGAAAACAATATCATAACAACATCTCCCACTTACTGACACATACCAGACATCAGGCTAAACACTCTATGGATATCACCTTATTTAATCATCATGCAGCATCCTGAAGTAGGCACTATTATCCTTCTTTTTTCTTTTTTTTTTTTTTGGAGAGGTTTTCGCTATAGGGCATGTGCGCTCGCCAGACAGACAGAGAGAGACATAGAGACAGAAAGCGAGAAATCACCCCCCAGGGGTGATGGTCACGCCACAATCCCTTCTCCTCCGTTCTCCTCTCGGGATCTTGGGCATGCATGCACACGCACCCGGCGTGAGTTTTAAGCCACGGGGTCTGGGGACGCAAACCACAGTCGACTACGTGGGAGTCCAGCAACATAGCCATTACGCTAACTGCTGGTTCCCTACAATTATTTTCAAAATTAGGAAAACCTGAGGCTTCAAGCTCTAGAAATTGCTCAGAGGCACAAGGTTAAAGTAGTCAGTCCTGAACACAAAATCCCTGACTCTCGAGCTCAAATTATTATAGGCCAAGCTTCATTGAACATAATAATGAAAAAAAAAAAAGATCTCCTGTTCAGAGCAGGCCATTCCTTACATTTTTAATTCATATTTTCCTTATTTCCTATTTAAAAGCAGTCATGTATGTGCATAACCTTCACAACAACTCCTCTGGCCACCAACCACCATGGGAAGAGGCAAAGGGGCAGAATGCTAAATTCTTGACCACAGTCATCCAGGAGCCTGGCCCACTGGCCCTCTTCTTCACCATTTTCTCTAGGTTCCTACAAACTCGGGACCATCAGAGGCTAATGAATATTCCAGGGGACTACATTATCATTATGCAGGGTTTCTGTCCATCACAAGTGAATATCATATCATATCATATCATATCATATCATATCATATCATATAATAAGGTTTCCAGATTTCAAGGGATCAAGATGTGTGAAGATACAAAGTCTTCAGTAGTCTTACCGTCCATAGGTCCCAGGGCAATGTCTGAAAGCAAACAAGAAAAAATATTGTTAGTAGCTAAATCCAAAGCTTAAATAAAAAGTGCCAACATGATAAAAGTTTTTGAAATCAACAATATTTTTTAAGGATTTAATACTGCACACAGAACTTTCTTTGGCAATAGGAATTATTAGATGTGGACCACCCAATACATCGGCCACTGTAGCACAAGGCCAGGGAGCACTTGAAACGTGAAATAAAACAAAATGTTTGATGTTACATAATTTTATTTAATTTAAGTAGTCACATGTGGATACAGACTAGCATGTGCTTAATCCATCTGCCTTTGGCTAGATGAGTGGAAAAAACTATCTTAATCGTAATGAATGGGGTTACTTTAACATACACATCCACCCCATTAAAATGAAATAACAAAGTCTCCAGATATCAGAGCTTGTCACATCTCTGAAGAAATGAAAATCCTGACCATTACTACTGTTCTTCCCCACCTCCTCATCACACTCAAGAGGAGACACAAAGTGACTGGTTTGGTGGTAAAGGGACCCCAGAAAGGTAGCTCTTCAATATGCTGAATTAGGTCACAACACACAGCTCATTTCATTGGTAATCATGCAAATTAGCAGGGTGCCCCCTACAGGGCACAATTTTTTGGGGGGGGGGGGTTTGAGAGGTTTTTGCTATAGGGCACGTGCGCTCACAAGAAAGACAGAGAGAGACAGAGACAGAAAGAGAGAAATCACCCCCCAGCGGGGATGGCCATGTCACAATCCCTTCTCCTCCATTCTCCTCTCGGGATCTTGGGCACAGACACACATGCACTTGGCGTGAGTTTAAGCCACTGGATCTGGGACTTGAACCACAATCGGCTACATGGGAGTCCAGCAACATAGCCATTATGCCAACTGCTGGTCCCCAGGGTACGAATTTACACTTACTACTGTAAGTAGTACTTACTACTCTTTCTTACTGCATTTCCTTTGTGACTAAGAACTGTCACCAAACGCACACCACATTATGTCTTGTGTCTAGAATATGCACATTATGCACTTATTTCAAATCACTGAATGTAGATAGCAAACTAGAGAGCCTGGTACACCCCTCTTAAAAATGTTTCCAGATGAAACTGCGGGTGTCTGTAGTCTAGACTGCAGGAAGTGGGCCCTGTGGTTCTGAGGGACACTGCTCCGTGGCCTGGGCTCCTTCTAATACTACCCGGCACAGCTGCATCTCCGCGCGGCCTGGCTGGCTTCTCGCTTAGCACCTTCTCGCAGAATGTCTGAGACCGAGACAGAAGAGTAGAGCAGCTCTGTGAAGGCCAGAGTTTTTGTATATGGTCTTCTACATCTAACAATGCATTTTCTGATTATCAAGATGTTTGTGTCTCCTCACTTCATAATCCCAGAAGACTCATAGGGCAGAAAAGTCACTCCACCTCTCTCATAATGCCGAGAGCAACACCGGTGTCTTCCCCAGAGGCAGACAGTGAGTGGGATGTTGTGTTTACAGCCCTCAGGTTCATGGAGGGATGTTCTAGCTCATACGGACACTGCCAGATCACAACATGAGGTGTCCTGCCAGCAGTAAGACCATCAGCGTCAGGGAGCAGCAGGTGGCATAGCAGTTACATCTCTGGACTCCCATGTGGCCGACCACAGTTTGAGTCCCAGATCTGGTGGCTTGAAACTCACACCAGGCGCATGTGCATGTGTGCCCAAAGTCCCAAGAAGAGAATGGAGGAGAAGGGATTGTGGCATGGCCATCCCCCTTGGGGGTGATTTCTCACTTTTCCTCTCACTGTCTCTCTCTCTCTCTGGTGAGCGTATGCACTCAAGGCAAGAACCTTTAAAAAAAAAAAAAAAAAAAAAAAACAAAAAACACATGAGAGCGAGGTGAGCTGTAAAGGAGATTGTTTTGGCTGAAGGGCAAAGCAGGCTGGCAGAAGCCACCAGCACTGTGCCTGTGTGACTCGGCTCAAGTCTCTTCTTATAGCAAGACAGGACAGATGGGATGAGAGCTGGATTATAGGACGACTCTGCAGTGTGGTGACTCAGTTATGGCCACCAGGACCCCAGCAGCAGTGATCACCTGGTCCCGAGAGAACACAGGGACACGCTGCCTGCCCTTGCTGTCATACTGCGTTCCCTTCAGAATAAGACTATCGAAGACTTAGCCAAGGTCATTTTAATTTTTTTAATTCCAAAAGAATCCCTTGTTCTTAAGACCACACAAAGTTCCATGATTTATGGATCAATTCAATCAGGCGCTGACAGAAAAGTTTTCTCTCTTAGATCAGACTTGTAGACAGAAATCCTATCTGCTGTGAAATCCCATCTGCTAATCACCCCAGCAGCCACCGTGGAAACTTTGCTTCTGCCACAAAGTAAAGAGCCACGGAGGGTAAGGCTGATGAGGTTGGGTGAATTCTGGAAGATGTCTACACCGCAAGAAAGTTGTAGGAAAGCAGATACTGAATTATCTACACCTTCCTTTCCTGCTTCTCTTGACCTCGAACTGCTAATGATGGCTGCCTTAGTGCTTTTCAAACCGAGGTTTAGAGGGTATACCAAAAGTTGCTAAGTTTCACTGAGACATTTCTTTAAGAGAGATTTCTGCTATAGGGTACATGCGCTTACTGGAGAGACAGAGAGAGACAGAGACAGAAAGTGGAATATCACCCCCCAGAGGGGTGGCCATGCCACAACCCCTTCTTCTCCATTCTCCTCTTGGGATCTTGGGCATGCACGCACACACACCAGCGTGAGGTTAAACCACTGGGTCTGGGACTTGAATGCGGTCCAGCATTTAGAAGTCCAGCTACGTAACCATTTCGCCATCTGCTGTTCCCTCACTGAAACATTTCTATAGTCAAACTAATTAAGGAAACTCTAAGTTAAACACATCTAATGGTTTTTGTAGGTTTTATTTTTAATTGCAGGATGTCTGAGAGCCTTTGATACTGCAATGCTCCTTGTGAATCTCTTAGAGTTAGTAAAGAGAGCTTCCCGAAGCATTCACCTAAAAGATCCATTGGCTGCAGAGCACCTTCAAGTCTACTTAATTTACCGCTTTATTGACTCCTTAGGCCGTTAGAGTCCCTGTTTCACAAGTAAGCCTTCATAGATACCCGAGCACATTCTAGGACACATCACGGATGAGAAAGAAGCCTGTCTTACTGAGATTCATGTGAAACTGTTCCCCCAGTGATTTACTGTGACGTAGAAACAGCTCAGTCTCAGTTCCTGAGCTGTGTTTTTACTTTTTTAAGAGGCACATATTCTCACCCAAGAGAGACAGACAGAGATAGAGAGAGTAAGGAAACAAGCTGTCAGGTCCAGGACTCGAACTGCAGTCGGACACGTGGAAGTCCAGCACCTTATCCGCCATGCCAGCTGCTGTCCCCTTTGAAGTAAGTTTTAAAGTACAATATATTCTAGCACCTTTGGATCTGCCCAAATTCAGATGTGAGGCTCCAACCACATCCTAAATACGGGTATAAACAATTTCCAGTTTGCCCAATTTTGAGTTAAACAATTGCAAATTAAGTACGTGTCTAAGAAATCGTCCAGAGGTCATTACAGCCCAATGACCTATGCCCGCTGACAGGAAGTGCTAGCACAGTAACAACTGTGGTGGGAGAGACATGGGAGGAGGTGACAGTGAGCCAGCACCGCCTGGGAGCAAGGCCGACCCCACACGTAAGGTGTGCAGGACCACGTGAGGGGAGTGTCTGCAATCCCAGCCCCGGAACTATCAGTGGTGAAACACCCTTCAGTCCGGGAATAAGCTCAGGGCTACTTCAAATGCACCTTAAGGCTGTAAGTAAGGAAGCAGAGAAGAATCAACCTAAAGCCCAAAACAAGCAAACAAACAAACAAACAGCTTTATTTAGGGAAACGTCCTTCTCTCTCTCTCTCTCTCTCTCTCTATCTCTATCTCTATTTCTATCTTTTTCTCATTGCCAGAGGACATGTACACTTGCTAGAGAGAGAGAGAGAAAGAGAGAGAGAGAGAGAAAGAGAGAAAGAGAGACAGCACCTCCCACTGGGGCATGGCCATGACAAAACCCTTCTTTCTCCACTCCTTCCTCCCATCAGGATTTTGGGCATGCACACACATTCACCCAGTGTCTTTTTCAAACCTCCGGAGCCAGAATTGAAACCTCATCTACCACGTGAGACCCAGCTCTCTATGTACAGGGCTTTATCACTGCCCTGTGGGACCAGCTACAAACCTAGACATTTGTGGGTAAAAGAGGTCACTATTAACAAGTCCTCTGGGATAGATGATTCCTGGGCAAACAGCAATATATGGCTTTTTGTTTGTTTGTTTTCTGAGAGATTTTTTTTGCTAAAGGGAGCATGTGCTCACCAGAGAGACAGAGAGACAGAAAGTGAGAAATCACCCCCCCCTCCCAGGGGCGATAGCCATGCTGTAATCCCTTTTCCATTCTCCTCTTGGGATTTGGGGCACAAGTACACATGCCTGGCATGAGTTTCCAGTCACCAGGTCTGGGACTCGAATCACGGACAGCCACATGGGAGTCCAACGATGTAACCACTATGCCATCTGCAGGCCCGCAATGTAAGTGTATAGCAGTTCTGTGGTAGAGAAAAGTGACGGCACAGCGGGGGTTAAATCCCTGATATCGGGGCCAGACGGTAGCACAGCAGCACTGTGATTGGGTTCACGTGCGAAGGTCTAGCTTCACGTCCCGGGGCCTTCCTGTACACCTGACATGCATGTTCATGCCCATGATCTGGACTGGCTAAGACTGGGAGCTCATCAGGATCTGAAGGCTCTGTTAGGAGTGACTACCTCCTTGTGTCAGTCTCTTTCTTTTTCCCAGGAAATAATAGCCTTTAAAAAAAGAATACTTTTACTAGTAAAGATCTTCTTTCTACCTAGCCTATGAGGAAATCCTTGTCAATCAAACAGAAAACTAGACAGTGGAATCTGAAAGGGACAGGTAACGTCTGTTGCCCTACTGAGCTTATTATTAAAGTTCATGAAATATTATCTCCAAACATCCAAAATACGCTTGGTACCTGAGACATGGGGGAGTGGGTCACTCCCGCAGAACCCGCAGGTGCAACCTCCGGCTTGAAAGGGTCAAAGTCTAGGTCGAGCAAAGTCTCCTCTTTCTTCACTTCGGGGACTTCGTTCTGTTAAAGCAAAACATGCATTAGCTTGGAACGTGAGAAGAGTAGGACACAGTGCACGCAGAACCCTTCTGTTATTACTGGATACCTCCACAGCGTGCGCGGTCAGTTAGCCGTACACGTGGAGCACCTGTCTGTTCCAGAGTCACTCAGCTAATTCTGGTTAGGAGAAAGAACTGATGCTGGCCACACAGAACTTAGGGGGCCCTGGAACACACCCCACGTGCCAGTTCTTGTCCTTCAGTCAGCTCCGCGTCCAGCAAGCAAACAGAACGCTAGGAGGTGTGTCTTACTGCCACCAACACGCAACGATCTTCTCTACCACCACAGAGAACCCACATTAAGCAATGACAGATGACAAGATTGATCAAATGGACTAAGAATTGACCCATTCCAGTTGCTGCGATGTCCCTCCCTGGAACTAAAGTTTATAAGGGAAGGAACCACATCCAGGTCCCTCAGCTCCTCAGTGGTACCCAGCCCCGGACTTCGCTGTCCATTCCTCATCCATGACATTCCTTGTGTTGACTTCTCCGTGTGTGCACGTGCACGTGTGTGTGTATGTGTGTGTGTGTGTGTGTGTGTGTGTGTGTGTG